TGAGTAAGCTGGCTGCTGAATTTGGCATGAGCTGAAGTATCTGAATTATCTTCAGAGGCAATACTACTTATAATACATTGCAGTGACCTAACCTAGAGCATAGACAACAGAGACTAGGCTCTCCCTGTCCAGATAGGGACACAGCTGGGCCACCAGCCAAAGCAGATGGAAGGCACTCTGTGTCACCAAGGCCACCTGAGCCTCAAGCGACAGCAAAGGACCCCCATGCTGCATACCCACTCCTTCAGAGAGAGTGTAGTCTCATCAAGAGCAGGCAACCTCCCAGCCATCTAGTCTACGGAAACACCCACTAACAAAATAATGGCCTATCACATCCATTGCAACACACAGAGATGTAAAGGAGAAGTTGGGCCATATGTCATCACCATATTGCTGACAATGTACTCCAAACCTCCAGATAGCCCCACTCAGCGGTTTCATAGTTGGGCTGGCCCTGTGGACAGCTCAGTGAAAACTGAAAACATCAACTCATGAGAATAAACAGTAAACAGTAAATTCAGTGTTAGATTCTATTAGGGATGAGATATCAATAACTCTGTGAGTTATCATAATGACTTTGTAATGACCTATTGTTAAATTCAATAAAAGTGAGTTATTGCAACGCCATTTTATAAATCTAATGTAGTTACATTGTGAATACTATGCACAGTTCAAGTTAGTTCCAATTCTATGACCATCATTTTTTTAATAGATGGGCTAACAGGTAAGATGGATAGGGGTGCAAACCCAGTATTCCATGGACAGAGTAAGATGTTGTTCTCAAATATGTTTGGCATTTGCAAGTTTCAGCATGCCTGGAACTGGACTCAGCTTTCTGTAAATGTTTCAGTAAATGTTGTGAGACGTCTGCTAGGCATTTTGAGGATAAATGGTTTACTTCCATTACAACTTGGATTCTGTCATTGAACCAGATGAATTAAATAAGGTGTCTGGAGTGCAGTCTTGCCCGGCTTTATTGGATAGGTATCAGTTGATGCAACTCAAAGATGTTTGGCCAGGTTTGTACAACCACCTATGCATGGTAGCTGTGCCCCTGTTGGCTCATAAAGGCTGGTAGGGAGGAGATAGCTGGTTGGGCCAGGGAAGTGATGAATGCTACTTTGTAAGAGGTTGAGGCAGTATTAAGACTACTGAAAGAACTTACCCTGAACTCAGAATATCTTGACAAGCCTAGACGGATAGCAAATATCCCCTTTCTAGGTAAGGTCTTCAGGCAGGTGGTGGCTGAAAAGATCCAAACACTCTTGAATAAAACTGATTTTCTTGATCTGTTTCAGTCAGGAGTCAGGTGTGGATTTGCCACAGAAACCACCTTGGTCACCCTGAATGACATCTTGTGCTGGGACAGGCAGGGAGAATGTGACGATATTCTCTTTGATTGCTTGGTGTCATTGTATCATTGGCCATGGTATGGTATCCTTCTAGTATAACTGTTGGAGTTGGGGATTGGAAGCATTGCATTCAACTCAGCATTTCTGAAGAAGTTTTGATTTTAAGTCATGCTCTTCCTGTCTTTTAGCTCCAGCTCATGAACTAGCTGGATTTTTTTAACAACATGTTTTAACTAAGCCAATTAACTATGGAGAGGGGGCACAATGCTAATGGATAAAGGAGTTTCACTTGGCCATATCTTTTAGAGATTCAGTTCCTGGGATTTCTTTAGTTTGTTATTCAGATATAATGCTCATGTTATTTACCAGAGAGATTGGAAGTTCAAGTTATATAATCCAATTTCTTTCACAAGAAATAAACACAACTATCAATCTTGCTGAAATTAAACTGGAGAACTGTTCAAGCAACTGTTGAGCAAACACATTACCTGAATCTCTCCCGATATGTTTCTTAATGAGATCCCTAATTAGGCAAGGTTTTTAATTTAAAGTATAAAAAGTCATGCAGCTTAGTCTTTGAATTAGCGTAGAGTCTACAGCTAGTCACAGTAATTACCAACCAAGCGTAATCCAAAGGAAACTGTTCTACAATCTTCCCATCATGGAAAACATTGTGGGGGGGGGGCGGAGAGGGAGAGGGTGGGGGAGATATGGAGAAATGAAGTTAAACCAACTTTGAGAGTGTTTTGCAAAATATAACTGAAACAGGATATGCTGCAATGATTTACTGGTTGGAATGGAAGTCAGGAAGGAATCTCTTGCCTTAATACTTGCCTCTGATTGGGTTATTTCTCCAATATATTTGGTGGCCAGTCTGGGCAATTACACATACAAGCAGCGTGTAAGGATTTTTCAAAGCTACCTGGATAGCAGCCAGTGTCCAATAATGAGATAAAGGCCCTTATTTCCAGGTTGAAATCAAATAAAGATCCTTGAGAATATATACTTCCATCTGAGCTCTGTAAGGTATACATAGAATGGGGGGTGCCTATCCTGGATGGCTTATTTACCACCATAAACAACACAGGCAAAATGCTCTCCTAATGGAAAATGAGTAGCATTTTCCTGATTTATAAGAAAGGGAATAGGAATGATCCACAAAACTATTGGTCAATTAGTTTGTTCAACATCTCCTCCAATGGTATCTCCTTAAAAAAAATTAAACAGGTTTCAAAGTTAACAATAAGTGGAATTCAGAGGAGGATACAGTATCATTGATCAATGTTTTACTTTGAACCAAAATTTGAAGAAATATACTAAGAACATTAAGAATAATCTTTATGTAGCCTTTATTGATCTTCCTGCTGCATTCGGCTCTATTAATTGAAACAGACTGTGGGAGAAATTTCACATTGGCAACATCGACTGCAGATCTCTGCTATCGATTCAAGAACTATACAGCTATACAGAAATGAGGATCAGAGTAGGTTTAAATGGTGGTAATGACTGATGCTTTTAAAATGTCGTGAGGAGTGAAGCAAGGTTGCATTCTGTCTCCCACTCTTTTTAACTTTTATATCAATAATTTGGTGCCATATTTAGCCAATGCAAACTCCCCCTCTCCAGTAATTTGGAACAGAAAGATCTGAAATTTGATATATGCAGGTGCTCCTCTCTCTTTTCTGATTGGGCCTCAAAAATCTCTTGGAGATGTTTAGTGCATATGGAAACAGGAAATCCTAACTGTAATTTACTCTAAAACCAAGATTATGATTTTTGGAAAACACAGTCCTAGAGGCACTGATAAAGTTCTGTTACAATAAGGCAGGTCAGCTGATTGAACCTGCCCTAAATATATTTGATAGGAAAATGCTTACTCAAATGCTCTATTGCATTGAAATCTGGAGCTCTGATTTGAACTCCTCTAAAGTTTTGGAAACTGCAGAATATTTTCTTCGGAAGCTATTCTCTCTGCCACCAGGAATTTCAGCAATGCTTCTTTGTACAGAATCCAGGTGGCCAATAATTAAGGCAAGAACAAACTGTGCTCCGTTTAGGTGTATTTTTAAAATTACTACTATGCCTATTGAGTGTTTTCCTGAGCTGTGCTATATGGAATTGGGTGATAACCAACTCTGGAAAGCAGCTTGTCAAGATGTTTTTGACTATTATTGTTTTCCAAAACTGAGCTCTTTTTTGACCTTGAATATGTGTCAACTCAGGCACGCCTAGAAAGAATCCGGAAGGGACCTGCAAATAATTAGAAACACCATATTTTCCCCTTGGTATCCACTCTTGAGAACAGATCATTTTAGAGCTAGTTATCTGACCAAACTCTCAGAGGGCCTTCTCGGTAGTGGCGCCCGCCCTGTGGAACGCCCTCCCATCAGATGTCAAAGAGATAAACAACTATCTGACATTTAGAAGACATCTGAAGGCAGCCCTATTCAGGGAAGATTTTAATGTGTGACATTTTAATGTATTTTTAAACTTTGTTGGAAGCCACCCAGAGTGGCTGGGGAAGCCCAGCCAGATGGGCGGGGTTCAAATAATAAATTATTATTATTTATTGAGCTGCATTTCTAAGTGATGTCCACTGCACTCTTCAATGGCTGCTACAAAAAACCCTGTACAGTGGAAACTCGGGTTGTGAACGTGATCTGTGTGGGATGCAAGTTTGCAACCCACAGCATTTGCAACTTGCAGCGGCACGTCTGCGCACGGCGGGTTGAGATTCGGCACTTCTGCGCATGCGCAAAACACGATTTAGCGCTTCTGCACATGCACGTCCGCCGAAACCCGCAAGTAACCCTTTCTGGTACTTCCGGGTTTCGGCGGTCCATAGCCCCAAAAAACACAACCTGAAGCATCTGTAACCCAAGGTATGACTGTACCTGTCTTTGTATTTGTGGTCAACCTCAGGTGGAAGACCCATTATCTGTCAGCCTGCCCCTTATATAGGGACCCAAGATATCACTTTTTGAAACCTTTGTTCACACACGCGAGCAGCCACACCTTGGTAGAAATGATTTTGTTTCTTTTTAGTGACAATAATAGCTTCATAACACACAGAGTGACCTATGCACTGCCCCCTCCCCTCCCCCCCCAAAAAAATCAGGAAAAGATAGATAAAATCAATACAAATTGTTATGGTGATTTGGAGTTTTAACCAGAAATCAAGCTGGATTGGAGTTTGTTGTATTTTATTAATACTATTGCTTAATATAAGTTTGTCATGGCCTTTGGCTAGAACAAGAATCTCATGAACTAAAGTATACTTGGAAATCTCAACTGTGCTCAATGGAGCTTTTTCATGGTATGCATACAAATGCATTAAGTTGCACTGATTTTAGTGGACTTTCTCTCAGAGAAGGGTGGACAGGGTTGCAGTCTTAATAGCCTACGGTGTTCAATAAAGAATTAAAGTTGAAATCCTATGCATATTTAGCTTGGAGTAAGGACATTGAACTTAATAGGACTTGCTTCTAATATGCACTATTGACCTCTTGCCTCTGCTAAAGGTGGGACTTAGGGCAAAATACTACAGGTTTGCACAGCAGAGATGAATTTTAAAAAGCCCTAACAGCCCCTTCTCTGAAAAGTATACTAACTTATGTCTGTGCTTGTTTTCCAATGCAGAATGGAAAAGCTGGATAGCTCTGTTGGTTAGAGTATGGTGCTAATAACACCAAGGTTGCAGATTCAATCTCTGTATGGGACAGCTGCATATTCCTGCATTGCAATTCTATGAATTACTAATTATATGAATTAGTAAGTAGACATTAGATGTACTGTCACCCCTTCCACTTTCATGTTGCTGAGCTTCTTTGCCAGCATACTAGGAATGTTGGAGAATTCCAATAAAAACAGAAACAGGAGTGGTAATCTCTCATGTTCACTTATTAATCCCAGGTCTAGATCAGAAACTGTTCCAGCTAATACAACTGGTATTCAGTGTTGTTGCTGCAAATTATATGTAATTGATCACATTCTCCCCCCACACACTTGTCTAATTTTCAATGAATTTCCTTTGACATAACATAATGACTGTAGTTTATGCAATGAATTTAGTTGCATCAGTTACATAATTTTGTCACAAGGGGCAATGAGATGAATAAACATAGCTTTTAGTGGAAGATGAACTGCTGCAGAATGGAAACACAGAGCTAGAATGGAAAACAATGCCTTCTTACACCACATACACTCTTCCTTCCAACAACCAAAGAAGGAGCAGTGTAGGGAGCTGAAGAACAGAAAAGATGCCCTGCTGGATCAAGCCAATGGCCGATCTAGTCCAGCAACATCGCTATGGGAAGCCTGCAAGCATGAACTGAGTATAACAGCTTCTCCCCTCTCTGTCAGAAATAAACACTTATAAGAATGGTGTAGCTATGAACCAGGGATCGAGTTTGCTTTCCCCACTCCTTCTTCCTTATCCTTTTCCCTTTGTGTCATGTTGTTTAGGTTGTAAACCTAATGGCAGAGACATGCTCAACTTGCAGCATTCCTAGAGACTGCTAATAAAACTGTATCCTTTATCCAGACACTATTGTCCCGTGTTGTTTGAGTGATTGCCACAGTCGACTTGACTGGATAGCAATCTGTGACAAGATAGAATTGCATGTGCAGACATCATGAGGCATTTGAGCTTTGCTTACGGTGTGTGTGTGTGTGTGTGTGTGTGCATTTTAACAGGAGGCCCAGAGGAGGGAGTGTACATACAGGATATGCACACAAAAGATGTGTGGCAAAAGCTCCTGAAAAAGGCAGAAGCATAAACTCTTTCCCTCTCAGTGGTGGCTGGTGCCACAGCCAATATCAGGAAGAGCCACCTCCTGATTGGTTGTAAATAGAGAAGGAGGGAGACAGGAATTGGTTGATGGCAGAAACAGATTGGTGGGTTAGAGCATCATTTGCCTCAGTGGAAGAACCACAACTGCCATCTCCCCCACCCAGTGGTGTAGCATGGGGGGTGCAGGGGGGGCCGGGTGCAACATCTGGGGGTTAGGGTTAGGGGGCGCAAATCCACGGGTTAGGGGGCGCAAATTACTTGCCTTGCCCCGGGTGCTGACAACCCACGCTACGCCACTGCCCCCATCCCTTGCTCATCCACAGATACTGTTGAGCCAAAGTTTCTCAGAAGAAATTTCTTAAAAGATAATACATGAGAACAACCTTTTTGCTCCCTCCAAGAGAAAGTTTTGCTAAATGTTCTCAGGATATTCTCTGCCATTGGGGGCGGGGTAAAGACTTCTAGTTCTCTCCCCACACTTCACAATGCCCCCAAAGTCTATGGTATAGTTAGGGGGTGGCTAGATGCAAAATGGCAGCCAGGTGGCCATCACAGGGGTTGCTATTTTTCTTTGCAGCAGCAGTAAAACGATAAATGAAAAACTTCTATGTTGGGTGTGTGTGTGTAGAAAATGTATCACTGCTTAACAGCATTCCTGCCCCCAAATCAAATGTTAGAATATTTCTCTTTTCATTCAAGAATATTCAACAAAATGGTACCCCAAATACTGCTGACTACGAATAAGGTAGAAAATTTCAGATCACTGCTCTCTCGCTCTCTCGCTCTCTCTCTCTCTCCCCCCCCTTGCATATGAAATAATAAACTCACCCTATCTGATGATACTTGGATGCAGAATTGCAGAACTTCAGTTATACCCTACCCATTTATGTTCATTTATTAAAATTGGCCAGAGACTTGCTCTGTAAATGCCTTTTCTTTTTGTGGTGGTTACAATATTTCCTTTATCCCAGAAGGATTGTGATGGGAATACATAATCCAGTGACCATTTAAATACATGTCCTGCCTGGCATTTCTGTTCATGGCAGCCCTAGGGTTCTATGGGAGTTTGAACACATACCTTATAATGCTGCTAGGGGAAAACAGGAATACTGTTTTTTATTTTTATTTTAAATCATGCATTTATGGAGATCCAGAAGTATTCTGTTTATCTGTCTAAGTATTTATCTGCATAATATCTGAATCCCAACAGACTTGCATAATCTCTGCCTCTCTCATTATTGGTCACAACTCCTTGACTCCTGAGGCAGTTATTACTGATGCCCTCACCATTCATTATTCCATAAAGCCTTAGTCCCATGCTGCATTTTAGAATGTTCTGGGGCTCTTGGGAATTTTGACTGACAGGCTGGCTACTTCACTTTATAGTGTGATGTACTCTTATCATTTCCATGGTTTGGATTAGATCTGCCTTTTTCCCCCATGCCAGTAATCAAATCATTAGAAACACTGTCCTTTAAAAAAAAAAAAGGAGGAGAGGCTTTGACTCACTAAAACAGGGGTGGGGAATTCTCAGACTGAAATGAAGCAAATGAATACTTCTCTAAAACCACTGAAATCAGAAACAATATTTGAACTGTATAGAGTCAGATCTTTCACACTTGGATAAAGTACATCAAATCACCAAGAAAGGATTGTATTTACACTTTCTTGTGTGGCATATTTTGCATCTGCACAGGTTATGCAAGTGTGAAAAGTGTCATAATTCTTAGAAAAGGATAAGGTAATTAAATGGCAGCAAAGTACCCTTCCAGCTGCAGTCTAGCAGGTTGAAAATTGTGCAGTCATAACCCAAGAATATGAGTAAATATCTGACAGCAAGACATGCTTTTTGGATGTGTCCTATCACTGTGATGGAGCTGGAGGTTGGTGACAGATCAGCAAGTGACATGTTCACCTTTCTAAAAAAAGTTCACTGCTGTGCATTGTGCATATTCCTACTAAAGCCCTTTCAGTGCAGTCAGTGTCTTTTTCTGTTAGGGCATTGGTCTCTTCAAAAAGTGCCAGGCAGCTTTCAAGCTGTGTATTTACTGCTACACGCTTGATTCCAATCTTGCTCAAAGTATCATTTCCAGTTGTGAGTTTTCACCAAAATTCTACACTGTTCAGCTTGATCAAGAGATGATGAAAAGGAATAAAGCATCTTTTTATCCCTGTTCTAAGCTAAGCCCATTGGTCTGTTAGGACTTTGATGTTAAACACCACCATGCACCTTAGCTGCAGTGTTGCTATATCTGTATTACAACATGTTGGGCCCTGTCATGCTGAGCCATCTTCATCAGATGTGGAAAAACGTGTTGTTCAGCCTCCTCAATTTTGCTACTGTGTTCTTGCTTATCACCTTTTTTCTACATTTCTGCAGCTACAACCTTCTTCTTAATGACCATATTGGTTGCAATGATTTGGAAATCAAACAAAACTGTATCAGTACATAGTGGCGCTTAAAAGTTAGTTGTTGCAAAATGACAATGTCCAGGACTTGTTTACTTGTGGCAGTTGCAGTAGTGTTAACCAACATGCACCCACAGGCGCAAATGTCCCTGCCAGTACCTCCTATTGTGCTCATGAAAGGTCTTAGCAAATATCCCCTCAGAAAACCCTATACACAATCTTCCAGCTCTGTTCTTGTTTGCACTGGCTCAGCCTCTCCCTCTTAGAAGACACTATGTCATGCCCCATGTCAGCCACTTTGTGTCTGGCACCTACAGCACTTCTTTAAAATCTTAAATGTGCCCACCAGCCCAAAAAGGTTGGTGACCCCTGTTATAGTAGACCACATGAGAGCAGCCACAATCAAAAATAAAGGTTCCTACTTCTAGCCCTTGCAGCTCCTGGTCTCTCTATAAGAATATAGGTTTGTGCTGAGGAGATGAGGAAGAAAGTAGGACAGCTCCCCACTCCCCAACTTCAGACCCTACTAATGTTGCTGGGCTCCATCAGCTCCAGCATGGTGGTAAGAAATGTAGTCCAACAATATCCATAGGGCATGAGTTTGTGGAAGGCTCAAGTAGGGCAAGGGTAGAATTTTCTTATTTGAGCACAGATGTGCATAATTCTCAGCAAAATTGTGCTTATACTTCTCATTGTATTAACTTCTATAATATGCTGAAGATGCACTTCTTTATTTTGGCCTTTGACACATGTGATATATATTTTCAGGGGCCACCCTATTATTTTGGTTTTAGTATTGTATTTTAAAATTGCTGTACCATGCAAGAAATCAAATTCAGCATCACCACCTTGCACCAACAATTCAGCTGTGAATTCAAAGAATTCTTAGGTAGCAAGTAACCAATCAAGCTAGACAAGTTTACTGGGTTTGGAAGAAGGCTATCAGCTCTTAAAAGCCAAAATACTGGTACCTTGGCAAGGCCTACGATAGAGTTGGTGTCAACATGTGACTGTACTCATTAGAATGTAATGTGCACTTTTTTGTTTTTTAAAATTTCATTTTTGTATTTTTCAGTTACACACATTCATTTCTTTCCGTGTGTTTTTCCAATTTATCTTATCATCTCTTCTAATTATCTAATACAACATCTAATACAATAGTAAGCATACAACAATAAAACAATAAAACATCTCTAATCACATCCTGTCAGTGATTCACATCCCCTCAGAGAGCCAGTGTGGTGTAGTGGTTAAGAGCGATTGCAACCCTTATAAAATTGCAAAGCATTTCATTTTCACTGCATATTTTATATAAGTCATGGTGCTTGATCCTCCATGGTCTATTGTGGTCCTTGGTCCTCCATGGCCAGTGTGGTGTAGCTGTTAAGAGCACTAGTCTCATAATCTGGGGAACCGGGTTCAATTCCCCGCTCCTCCACATGCAGCTGCTGGGTGACCTTGGGCTAGTCCCACTTCTTTGAAGTCTCTCAGCCCCACTCACCTCACGGAGTGTTTGTTGTGGGGGA